CGGCCACCCCTCCGCGCCCTGCCGCCCAGAGATCGTCCAGACATCGTCCCGACGTCGTCCGGGCGTCGACCGCATCCCAGACCCCCTCGGGCAATGAGAAAATCATGACGGGAGGTTGTTCCTGATTTTCGGCCTCGAAGGGCCCTCGCCGGGCCTCGGGACCGTCGAAAAGCGACGCAGGATGAGAAACGGGTCCTGGGGAAGGGGTCGAGACCTCTGGGGGTCGACGTACTGAAAAATTCATGACTTCGGGGGTCTGGGATCCGGACGACGTCTGGACGAGATCCCCCAAGCCGCAGGCAGTTCTGGGGCCCGCCGGAGCCCCCCGTGGGGCTCGGGACTCCGAGGCCTGCGGGCCGCGTGCGCCGGGCAGGCGGGCGCTCCGCTCCGGCCGCGGGGCCCGGAGCAAGCAGAAGGGCACGGCTCCCGCGGGGGGCCCGAGAATATACACCGCCACCACGTCGATGCCTCCTCCCTCCCCTCCCCTCTTCTTGCTCTCCTCTCCTGGTGGTGGTGGTGGTGGTGGTGGTGGTGGTGGTGGTGGTGGTGGTGGTGGTGGTGGTGGTGGTGGTGGTGGTGGTGGTGGTGGTGGTGGTGGTGGTGGTGGTGGTGGTGGTGTATACTTTTGGGCCCCCCATCTCGTCTTTCGCCCCCCCCCCGAGCAGCAGCCAGCGGCCGCCGAGCCAGCTCCAGCCGCGGGACGGCGCCTCGGCTGGATGGCCGCGGTGCGCTCGCGAGGCCTTCAGAAAACGGCGCGTGCTGACCGCGCGCGCTTGCGCACGCCAGGCACGCAAGGGGAGGGGCCCGTCACCTGCGCCTGCCTGCGTCTCCCTCGTCTGGAGAGGGGAAGCAGTAGTGCGAAGTAGCGCAGCAGACGCCCAACAGCTGGAGAAAAGGACTGTCCCCAGGCAGCAGGCGAGTGAGGGGTACAGGGAGGGAGTGAGGGAAGTGTTGGGGCAACGCTTCAATACCCTTTGGCATGCACATCGTCAACAGTCAGTTTGGCTCATAACAGTCCCGCAGGGGACGAAACGCTAGCCCACATACTGACAAAAAATGCATCGACGTGCCTTCATCGTCCAGCTTGAGTCTCCTAGTCTGATCGGAGCTAGTCGCCCTCCACAGGCCGAAGCTAGTCAGCTTTGCCCTCGGCGTCAGCCCGCATGCACGCGTGAGCCCATTCAACCCCCGAATCGGACGAAGCCAAGCCGTGCAGGCAGGCAACTTCCCAAATATCCAGCACGGATCGAAGGGGGCAGAAGGGAGGAGTGACAGGGAGAGGGGCCGTGGCGGCGGCCTTTCGCTGTGCTGCCCGAGGAGTTTCACTCAACCGTTCAGTTTCAGACACAAGGCGAATGATTTCCGCACGCCGCGGATGCATCGACAAGAGTGCGGCTCACGTGTAGCGCAGATACAGGCACACACGCATACACACAGACAAAGTGTGCATATACCTATACGAACACCCTTTGGGTGATAAGGAGGTTGTGTGGGGGGAGGGAAGAAAGGGGGGGAACCAACATCTGACTCAATCGATCTCACTATCGATCTCACTCCACGGGACACCACGGGACACCACGGGACACCACGGGACACCACGGGACACTTGTCGTTCTCACAATCGATCTCACTATCGATCTCACTCAGCGGGACATCACGGGACACCATAGGACACCACGGGACACCACGGGACACCGCGGGACATCCCTCAATCTCACTATCGGTCTCACTATCGATCTCACTATCGGTCTCAGTCAACGGGACACCATAGGACACCACGGGACACCACGGGACACCTCGGGACACCACATCGATCTCACTATCGATATCACTATGGATCTCATTCAATGGGACACCACGGGACACCACGGGACACAGGCGGGACACCGGCGGGACACCGCGGGCCACCGGCCGCCAGAGGAAAAACATTTGGTCCGGCCGCGGCCCAGCCATAGGAGGATTTCGGGACACCAGCGGGACATCGGCGGGACACCGCGGGCCACCAGTCGCCGGAGGAGAAACATTTGGTCCGGCCGCCTCCCAGCCACAGGAGGATTCCTCTCGCCCGCCCACGCAGCTTCGCCTCGCCCGCCCGCGCGCACGCACGCACGGCACGCACGACAAGAACCCGAAATCGAAATCGATTTCCCGGTAGAGGGGGTCTCCGTTTCACGTCGGACTCACCCCCCAACGTCCGATATATTCATATTTGTAAATATGCATACATAGATCCAAACGCCAGTGCGCACTCATAGTGAATGTACCAGCAGACATGAAACCTTTATGTGTACATATATGTGTGTCCAAGTGTAAGTCGATATATGCAAGGATACCTGCACAACGACGAACGCGCATACATAAATAGATAAGTATGTAGGCGTGCCCACATGCACACATGTGTACGTATATGAACATATGCATGTATGTGGATATGCATGTGTATATGCAGATGTATGAAAGAGCGTGATCCACCGCCGCTTTACTGTGGAAGATCCCCCCCCTTCTTTCTCGGGAGCCCGGGCTCCCCCCCCTCAGAAAATCCCCTCCCCCCGTGCTCGAACCCCCCTCCCTCTCCCCCCCTTCCTCCAGCAAAACCCCCCCCTGACCCCTCCCCTGGACACACGACCACGGCCCGCTCGACGAGCTGCGCTGTCCTCGGAAAGTCTGGTTTGCAAAACTGCGCGTTGTCGTTTCGTCGGCACGCTTGCAAAGGGGCCCTCTCCCCTGTGTTCGCGTTTCTTAGATGCACGTGATGTTGCTTCCACTCTTGCACGTACTGCACGTCCTCGTCGAAGTACTCCCTTTCCCACGCCCTCACCTCTTCTGCGACTTCCCCCGGCGACGCTTGGCGATCCACGTCGCGTGTCTGGTACCGGGCCTACACACGAGGCCGATATTTGTTCTTTGTACTCTGGCCACGTCGCCTCTGCTTGTTCAAGCCTCTCAACGACGGCCTCGCTCCCGACTTTGCTGGAATATACCTGCCGACGCACCCGTGTCTTGTACTCTAGATACCTCTTTCACGAGTCGTTCCCCGATTCCGTTGGCGCGGTCTCGCACGAGCTCGAAGAAGCGATCCAGGGGGGGATGTTGGCAGGGTGTGTTGGTGGAGGCACCTCACCCCGTCAATGTCATGTCCTGTTGATCCTGCTGCATCACCATCATCAGCAGCATCATTATCATCAGCACCGTCAGTCGATGTTGACAACCTCATCATCATCATCATCATCATCATCATCAGCAGCAGCATCATCATCATCACCAGCAGCAGCAACGTCAGCAACACCAGCAACATCAGAATAACCATCATCATGAGCAACAGCAGCAACATCATCAAGTTCATCAAGTTCATGAGCATCAGCATCATCAGCATTATCCGCATCAGCAGAATCATCGTCATTATCAGCATCATCACCATCGTCGTCATCATCACTATCAGCATCACCATCATCATTATCAGCATCGTCATCACCATCATCAACATCAACATCATCAGAAGGCCGGAAACCGAACCACGCGGCCCCGGTTTAGGGTCGGCGGCAGGCGCGGCAGCCTTTCCATTAATATACATGCGAAAACGCATACGTAGGTACATGCGTGTTTTTTGAACGACTCGCGCTGACCGAGCGTGACGCACCAGGATACCGCGCCCACAGCGCCGAGGCGCCGAACCCAACCGTAGGTCTATGCGTGCTTCCACCCGTTCCAGGTGCGCCCAGTGCCTTTGCGCGGCCCGCGGGCTCTGCGGCCGCGCTCGCGTCCGCCAGCGCTGCGAACAAAATCCCCCCCTCCTCCTCCTCCTCCTCCTCCTCCTCCCCCTCCTCCTCCTCCTCCTCCTCCTCCTCCTCCTCCTCCTCCTCCTCCTCCTCCTCCTCCTCCTCCTCCTCGGTCCCAGAGGGGGAGTCCGAAATGGCTCCACGAGCCCTCTTGTACAGACATGGCCCCCGAGACCGCCAAGAGGCCCCCATAGAGGCCCCCAAGAGGCGCCCCGGAGGCCCCAAGAGAGGCCTTCAAGATGGCCTTCAAGAGGCCTTCGAGAGGCCCACAAGATCCCAAGAAACCCCAAGAGGTATCTACGAGGACTCTGGCCCAGAAAGCACGCACAGAGGCAGAGGTGGGTCGAAGGCCAAATTCATCATCATCATCATCATCATCATCATCATCATCATCAGCAGCAGCAGCAGCAGCAGCAGCAGCAACAGCATCACATCAGCAGCATCAGCAGCATCAGCAGCATCAGCAGCATCAGCATCATCAGCATCATCACCACCACCACCATCATCATCATCAGCATCGTCGTCGCCGTCGTCGTGGTCATCGTCATCAGCATCATCATCATCAGCAGCAGCATCACATCAGCAGCATCAGCATCATCAGCAGCATCAGCATCATCATCACCACCACCACCACTATCAGCATCGGCGTCGTCGCCGTCGTGGTGGTCATCATCATCATCATCAGCATCGTCAGCATCATCAACATCGTCATCGTCATCATCACCATCACCATCAGCATCATCATCCTCATCATCGTCGTCATCGTGATCATCATCATCAGCAGCAGCATAATCCTCATCAAGAGCAGCATCATCATCATCATCATCCTCACCATCATCTCATCAGCAACATCAGCAGCATCACCAGCATCATCTGCTTCAGGGTCACAGCTGAAGGCCAGTGCGCTGAGGGGCAAGGATACAATACCCCATTCGAAGACACAACGACCGCCTTCCTCACTCTACTTCTCCTCCTTCTGATCATCCGCCTCATCCTCCTCCTCTACACCGCCACTCCTCCTCCCACCTCCTGCGCCACCTCATCTTCGCCGTCATCTGCTTCGTCCTCATCTCCTCCTCATCATCATCCTGTCTACCCCACCTGACTATCTCCATCCTCTCTCCCCCTCACACGTCCACTATCATCCCGCCATCCCAGCTCATTTGGCATACCTCTTCTCCTCCCTCTTGGTGTATGCCCCTCTGATGTCTGGCGTCAGACGGCCTGAGCGCCACTCGTTTGGCGTATCTCCGCGATCTGCTTGCCCCCAGTGCCGATGACCTCGACGGCCGAGCAATCGGACAGTGAAGAGAGTGGAGGAGGCAAAGAATGGGATACCGACATCGGTGGCCCATGCAGGGGGCCACATGCGAACTCCGGGGCTCGTGGGGGGGGGCAGGGACAGGAACCCCGCCCTCCCCCTCGGAAATCGTGGTGGGGCAGGGGGTTAGGGCTCGCCTGTGGGCCCCCTACCGAGACGGAGACACCAGATGCTGCCTGCGGCGCAGGGCGCGGAGTGCTCTGGGGCGCCGCGGGCGGCACGAGCACGAGGAGGAGGGCCGGAGGAGGAGGAGGAAGAGGGGGGGGGGAGGAGGAAGAGGAGGAGGAGGAGGACGAGGAACAGGAGGAGGAGGGGGCTCGAGGAGGGGCCGAGAGGAGCGGCGGCGCGCCCGCGGAGGAGGGCAGGGGCCCGCGCGCAGGCAGAGGCGGCATGCACACGGGCGCAGTACGGCTGGCCTTGGGTCGGGCATGTCCCCCTGCAGGCGGATGTTGGGCGAAGGTCAAGCAATGATCAGAACACATCCTGAGAGAGTCGAGACACGCCAGAGAAAGCGTCCCCGAGACTGTGTTTGGACTCTTTTGGGAGAGATTCCTCCTGTAGAGGAACGGGCCCGACTGAAGGCTGGCCACGCGATGCCCACCCAGGCCAGGCCCCGCACCGCAGGACGCCAAGCGCTCAGACCTCTGGCGATGTGTTTGACGGCCGCCCTGTCCTGCCTCGATCTCGGCCCTCGGGGGGGGGGCGCCTTCGGGCCCCGCGACCAGCGGGCTCGGAGATCGGGACGCAGAAGCAGCCTGGAGCAGGCGGCGGGAACCTCCTGGGCCGCGGATGGAAGAGCATGGCGGCGGGTGGCAGGGCATGTGCCTACACTAGGGGGCCACACGCGAACCCTACCCCTACCCCCCACGATTTCTGAGAGGGAGGGTGGAGTTCACTTCGTCTGGGAGCTCCCGAGAGAAGTGAACCCCACCGTCCCCCTCAGAAATCGTGGGGGGTAGGGGTAGGATAGGCATGTGGCCCCCTATACACCCATCCTGGGACCAGAATCACCCTGGGCACAGGATCGGTGCAGACGTGTAGGTCATGCCGCCCGACTGCAAAGGGGGGCCTCCAGGATACGCAGGGTCTCAGACTCCTCCGAGGTCCTGAAGTCCCTGGAAACAGGTATTGTGTGCCCTTGGACAAAGATTCTTGAAACCCTCACGGGGGGTCTGGGCACATGCTCCCGGTACGACATTCGTTTGGGGGTCCTCCCCCCATGGCTGGTGCATCGCTCCAACATGGGGGGGGTCAACGAGATTGATCACGGCAGTGGAACTCAATGGATACGCCGCGAAGTTAAGGAAGCGCGTCTCGCTGGACTGGATGACGCTCACCAAGTGCGATCGGCATCACGGTCCCGATCATCAGTGATCAGACCAAGAGAGCGCGCAGCTCCAGCACATGCGGCACCGAAATCCTGCAACAGGGACTACCGCATCATTCAGGAGGTTGGCTCTGCCAGGCACAGCACGCAGTCCAGGGCCCCAGAGATCTCCCAACGGTCCCAAGAGCACCGCTGTCGGCCTATGTGCTCCACCCTCTTTCCAGCGTGGGCCCCAAACAATGGGAGGTTGCACTATGGACGCGCAAGCTATGCGGCGCAAGCAAATTATTTCAGATGAACTTGACATTGTCGACTCCATCCACTGCTCGCGCAAACACCAAAACTCTCTCATCCACAACTGGTTGTGCAGAACCCAGTCGGCCACGATTGCGGCTACCCACTGGCATTTGTTAGTGGATCTCTACGGCCGCGCTGGCGCGCGCACACTCGTGCGCAGAGCGACCAGCTGCTTTGGCACAACTGATGCGGCCACAACGGCTCTTACCAATGGACCCCTCCCAGCGCGTCTCCAAGGCCGCACTGGCGAGCGAGTAATTCAATGAGGGTCGGTGATTTGGGCGAACTCGATACCATGATGACGCCGGCAACGGCGGCAACGACGATGATAATAGCAACGGTGGTGGCGATGATGACGATGACGAGGCCAATGACGGCGCCGTTGCTGGTGACGCCGATGGATGACGTCCAGGTGTCGGTGATCGGTGATGAAGGTGACTGCGCCGATGATGGCGGCAATGGCGGCGATTGACGATCACGATAACCGCGGTGATGCGGAGGCGCTGACGAGGGTGATGAAGAAATGCGCACGCGCAAAGAAGGAACGCTAGTAGAGTCGTAGTTGAAAAGCACGTGCTTTCATGCATGTTTGAGAAGCCCTATCTTCAACAAAAACTTCGGGGACGAATGGTTTTGGGAGGAAGGAACGCTAGTAGAGCTGTAGTTGACAAGCAGTGCTGTCATGCATGCTTGAGAAGCCCGATCTTCAACATAAACTTCGAGGACGAATGGCTCTGGAAGAACTTCGACGCGCCCGCGTGGCGGCGCGCGCATGTGGCCCGCACCGAAGCATTTGATACGGATTCGCGAACTGTTGGCGGCGCGCACAAGGGGGTGGGGGGAGGGGGGAGGCTTTTAGAAGCAGGCTGCTTCTTAGAAGGCGCCGCCTTACATCTATATATAAGGCCGCGCCTTCTGAGAGAAGCAGGGTGCTTCTGAGAAGCCCCCCCCCTCCCCCCACCCTCCTCTGCGCGTGGCTGAAACTGGACGCATGCTAGATCAACGCGGATGCACCGCGTGGTGAAATGAGAATGCGGCTTATGGACGAGGTTGGTAAGATCATATGACTCTTATGATGTCAACAAGTGCGGACTGGCAGATAACCTGCCATATCTCTCCTGGAAGCCAATCAGCTTCTTATGACAGAACGCTAGCCAAACTAATGGGTGTCGGTATGGCTTCGACGTGTGCGCACTCGTGTGGACGTTGTTACATGTTTGAAAGGAATGAGATTGCAACATATATGTTGAGATAAGCGGGTGCGCTTGCATGGTATGATTTGACAAAGATGACGGGGGAACCGATACTGGTTCGCCTCGGATGGTCCGATGTCATCCCGGGAATGAGCTATAAGGCAGAGGCATACGCAAATGACAATACGGAATGGTGCGCGGGGGGGGTCAAGACTATTCTTCTGCTGGAAGTAAACAGTATCAGGTGCAAGCTGTGTAGTTCGGGCCGGGCAAAAAAGGGGGATAGCAAAGAGGGGGTTGAGAATCAGCTCACGTATAGCTGATTTTCGCCTCCCGGCGCCGGGAGGCGCCCATGTATCGAGGAATGGGCCCGGCGGCGGGGCCGAAACCAGCTGCATGCAGCAGATTTCGTAACCCCCCCTTCCCAGAGATCCAACGTCTCGAAAAAATCAAGACGGAGGTTTTTCGCAAATTTCGGCCCCTGGGGGCCCTCGCCGGGCCTCGGGACCGTCAAAAAACGACTCAGGATGAAAAACCGGTCCTGGGGAATGGATCGAGGCTTCTGGGGACCGCGCATTGAAAAAATCACGACATCGGATCTCTGGGTTTCCCTACCCCCCCTTTCGTCCGGCCCGAGTAGTGCAAGCTGCATGGTGCAAGCTACGAGGTGCAGGCCACGAGGCGCAATCCGTGTGGCGGGAGCGACGCGGCCCATGGGCGCCTGGGGCACCTCGAAGCGCCCACGACCGCGCACCGACGGGGCACCGGGCGACGCCTCGGCCAACCCGCCGAGCGCAAGGGGCGCCCACGCGGCGCCCACGACCGTCCAGACGGGGCACCAGGGCGAGAGACCTTCGGCACCAGACCCCCGACTCCGTGACTTGTTCACGACGCGGCCGCCAGAGGTCTGGACACATTCCCCGGGACCGGTTCTTCATCCTGCGTCGTTCCTTGAGGGTCCCGGGGCCCGGGGAGGGCCTCTATAGAGGTCGAAAACTGCGAAACACCTCCCGGCGTGATTTTTTCACAACGCGAGGAGGTCCCCAGACCCCCGACGTCATGATTTTTTCATGACGCGACCCCCAAAGGTCCCGACCCCTTCCCCGGGACCGGTTTTTCGTCCTGAATCGTTTTTTGACGCTCCCGAGGCCCGGCGAGGGCCCCCGGAGGCCGAAAATGGCGAAAAATCTCCCGTCGTGATTTTTGTCACCACGCGAGGGGGTCTGGGGCCAGCCCCACCCGGCGCGGGGGGCGCCCACGAGGCGCCCGCGAGGCGCCCGCGAGGCGCCGGGCCAGGCGGAGCACCGGGGGGCGGGGCCGTGGCGGAGCCGCGCAGCGCCTTCTATAGGAGCGCGCCCGCGGTGCCCCCGAGAGGCCCACGGGCGGGCACCCGGTGGGGCACCGGGAGAGGCCTCGGCCGCCCAGAGGCCCCTCACCCTCCACCTTCCGCACCTTCCGCGCGGCAGCTTCCACGCCGCGGCGGCCGCCGCCGCGGCCGCCATTGCTGCTTCCGCCGAGGCCGCAGAGGAGGTTTCGGCGGCGGCGGCGTCCGCCGCGGCGCGGCACCTGCCGCGCGGAAGGTGCGGAAGGTGGAGGGCGGGGGGCAAGCACTCCCCAGACCCCCTCGAGGAATGAAAAAATCATGACGGGAGGCTTTTCCTAATTTTCGGCCTCCGGGGCCCCTCACCGGGCCTCGGGACCATCAAAAAACGACTCAGGACGAAAAACCGGTCCCGGGGAATGGGTCGGGACCTCTGGGGGTCGCGTCATGAAAAAATCATGACGTCGGGGGTCTGGGTCGCTCGGACGTCCATTCCCCGTGCTTTTTTCGGTCTCGTGCGTGGCTTGCTCGCCAAATGGTCAAGGATGCTCCTCGATGGTCCTCGCCGAGGAAAAAAAATCACACGTCCGAACGATGCCAAGCGACTGCCCAGAGATCCAACGTCTTGACAACGGAAGTTTTTCTCAATTTTCGGCCTCTAGGGGCCTTCGCCAGGCCCAGGGACCGTCAAAACACGACTCAGGATGAAAACCGGTCCTGGGGAATGGATCGAGGCTTCCGGGGACCGCGCATTGAAAAAATCACGACGTCGGATCTCTGGGTCCGTGGGAGATGTGCATGTCGTTCATGTCCAGTCGCGTTCATGTCTAGTTGTTTGCTCGTTTCTGATTGTTCCTGGTCCCCTAAAAGAGGCCAGGAAGAGGCCCAGGATAGAACAAGTAGGAATGAAAGGATCTTGGCCCCCCCCCCCCGAAAAAATCAAAGACCTAGAAACGAACAATGTGTATGTATCTACGTCCCTCCTCCCGACGACCCCCCTGGGCAGCGTTTCTGGATGGGCTGGTGGGCCCGGCAGAAGCAAGCACGACATCTGCAGCAGTGCAGAAGAGCGAAGGGGCCGGAGATGGGGGGCAAGGAGAAGGAGCAGTAACAAGGCGAAGGTAATGACTGGGACGGTAACGACCAGGAATACGATCGGGATGACAGCTGCACACGAGAGCGAGAAGCACACACACAAATGATAGAGTGCATAGAAGGAGCGGTTGCAGAGGATGGAAGGGATGCAACAAGAAGAACTGGGGAATGAAAGGCCAGGGCCTAAGAGCATCAGACTAGTGATGGTGTGCCGACAGGGGGGGCCTTGCCAGTGGCGTGCTTGGGCAGCTCCAGGTTCTCCTGTGCACCCATTGAACTCGCCGTGCAGCAGCTGATTTCATTACTGGTATCACCTTTTCTTCCTGCACTATTGTTCCTCACCTTCATCCTGCCAAATTCCTCTGGGAAATCCGCCGATCTGGCGTGTGAGTTTGTGAGAGCTGACGCCATTCAGGCCCGGGAAGGAGGAGGGGGGGGGGGGCTTCGCTCGCTCTGTCGGGGGGGGGGGGGGGCTGACGCCATTCAGGCCCGAGAAGGAGGGGGGGGGGGAGCTGACGCCATTCAGGCCCGAGAGGGAGGGGGGGAGAGCTTCGCTCTGTCTGGGGTGGCGGGGGGGCTGACGGCATTCAGGCCAGGGAGGGAGGAGGGGGAGGGGGGCTGACGCCATTCAGGCCCGGGAGGGAGGAGGGGGGGGGGGGAAGAGGGGAACGCCATGGGCAGGAGAGGGGGAGGGGGGAACGCCATGGCTGACGCCATTCAGGCCTGGGAGCAGGAAGTCGGGATGAGGGGAGGGGGAGCTGACGTCATGCCTGACGCCATTCAGGCCCGGGAGGGGGATCTGGAGGGGGGGAGGGAAGGAGCCCTGACGCTATGGCTGACGCCATCCAGGCCCGGGAGGGAGAAGTCGGGGGGAGGCGGGGGCTGACGTCATGGCTGACGCCATTCAGGCCCGGAAGGCGGGAGGGGACATCCCATGAGTTTGGCTGTTCACGCGAGATCGTCACTTTCGAATATCCGACGGTTGCCCAAGCGAGTTCAACATCTCTATCTTGTGAGCATGTCTCGAGCGAGTGCTCTTTTTTAAACATAAAAGGTCCTGCGTTGTAAGCAAAATCGGTAGCACCCCGGATCGGCGGCACTGGCCGGAGGCCACTACAATAAGGGAGCATTCAAACATGACCTGTCGAAATTCCGCGCGAATCTGTGGAACAGCGCTGGAGCCCCCTCCCTAGCGCACCCTCCGAAAGTTTATGTTACTGCCGTTTTCTATGATTCGATTCTCCCTTCCCCTCCTTCCTTCCCTCCCTTCCGCTCCTCCCTCGCACGCTTGTTGGCCGTTATCGGGCTGCTCGCCGAAATCCTCCTCGCGAGCTCGCCCTCCCTCCCCTTTTTCCCCCCTCCCTCCCCCCTTCCAACTTCCCCTCCCGTCCGCTCCCACCTCACGCGCACGCTGACCCTGCTCACGCCCTTCGCCCTGATCCTCATCCTTCCCCTCCTCCTCCTCCTCCTCCTCCTCCTCCTCCTCCTCCTCCTCCTCCTCCTCCTCCTCCTGCTCCTTCCCCTCCTCCTCCTTCTCCTCCTCCTCCTCCTCCTTCTCCTCCTTCTCCTCCCCCCTGCGCCCCCCACTAGGGAAGCCAAAACACTCCGATCCCGCTACTCCCTGGACCTCTCCCAGGGTGCGTTCTGGCCAAAACTCCGACGCGAATCCCAGGGCCTCCCAGGAGACCCCCCAAAGGCGGAAACGAGGCCATGGCAGCGGCATCGGCACATTTTCCTCGTCCGACCTCCCCCTCCCTCCCTCCCTCCCTCCCTCCTTCGCTCCCTTGCGCTCCCTCCTCGCACGCTTGCTGAGTTCCCGTCCCCCGCGACGAGCCCTCCCCGCGCGCTCCTCCACCGTCGGGCCGAGGTCCACGGCTGGCGCGGGCGGCACTGCGGGTGGCGGCTCGTCGGAGAACCGGGAGAGCCGCCTCCGCGTGGGCACCGGCTCGCTGTCCTCGCGTTGGGCAGGTGCGTTCTCAGTCCTCCTCCTCCTCCTCCTCCTCCTCCTCCTCCCTCCTCCTGCTCCTCCTGCTCCTCCTGCTCCTCCTCCTCCTCTTCCTCCTCTTCCTCCTCCTCCTCCTCCTCCTCCTCCTCCTCCACTTACCCCGTTCCATTACCCTCCTCCTCATCATCCTCCTCCTGCTCTTCCTTTCCTCCTCCATCCCTCCTGAAAATTAACTTCTCCATTTCGCACTCCGAGACGTGTCGGCAGCATATCACCTGTACTGTTGCGCCCTGTCAGTCCTACATCGTGCCAGAACACCGCCCCTGGGACACAAGCCAAAAGAATCAGCGGAAACCCTCGCCTTAGCGCGCGGCGCTAAAGCGAGAGCCACGTTTTGAAAGGAGCCGCCCTCCATTTGGAAAAACCTCTGCTAACTTGTACAACGAATGTGCGCGGCGCGACGACGAGATCCACATTTTGAAAACGCCCCGCCCTCCATCCGCAAAGCTCCTGCAAGCTGCTATGACGAGCGCGCGCAGCGCTAATGCGAGAGCCACATCTTGAAATCAGCCCGCCCACCATCCGTGAAGCTGCTGTAAGCCTTTACATGTATGATTAATCATGTGCGAGGCGCCAAGGCGAGAACCACATATTAAAAACCACCCGCCCTCGATCCGTGAAGCTGTTGCAACTTCTAAGCTTACGGCTAATAAATGGTGAGGAAGTCCAAAGCGAAACGTCTGGCCCGCCCTACCGACACGTCTCGGGGTGCAGTAGGGAAGAGTTACTTCACAGGAATAAAAAGGATGGAGGAGGAGGAGGAGGAGGAGAAGGAGGAAGAGGAGCAGGAGCAGGAGCAGGAGCAGGAGCAGGAGCAGGAAAGGCAAGGGGAGCAGGGGGAGGAGCAAGAGGAGAGGTGCCCTCCTTAGATCTCAGTCATCATCTACCTCATTGTCAATATTGCGCTCCTCAGGAGCCTCCCCCAATGCAGTGGCGGGCGCTTACTCTGCGCCGTTTCTGGCCTCCTTCTGCTGCCTTTCTCTGTTGCCTGTCTTTGACCACAGCGCCCGCCACCTGCCCAATATGTTTGCTTCTTCCCCTCAGTCGGCGGTTCCTTGTTTTGAACAGGGGACGACCGTCCCAGCATTCATATAGGCCTACCACGACATGTTCTTAGAATCCACAAATGCTCGATAAACGAAAGCTTAGAACCTAAACCCGATGTGTTCAACCAAGACGGTCTCAACCAGAAAGGTTCTAAGAACATTTCTTGCAAACCATAGAAAGGTCCTCAAGTGCATTCTTTGGTGGGCCTATGGGCCAACCAGGAGGCCTCGCCACTGCTTGATTGTTGCAAGACACCTATACCGCAACGATACCCAACCCATGTCTACGCAACGTTGAACAGCAGCTGCCAAAGGAGCACAGGCAGGGGCCGGGCCTTCGCCACCAGCGCCAAGGCAGAGGCCTCCTGGGCGCCGGCGGTGCCTGCTCGAGCGGCGATCGAGGGCAAGAAGGAGGGAGGGGAGCGAGGTGCGAGGGGCGAGGGAAAGGGGGCCCTGACGTGCTCGTGTCGAACAGCAGATCAGGACGGGAGGTCTGTAGCCGTGTTCGGCCTCGGGGGAGCCTCGCCAGGCCTCGGGGCCGTCAGCAAACGACTCAAGGTGGAAAGCTGGTCCCTGGGAAGGGGTCGGGACTTCCAGGGACCCCGCATTGGAAACATCAAGACGTCGCATGCCTAGGGGGGAGGGGGGGGAGGCGGGGAGGCGCGGGGTACGAGGGAGGGGGGGGGACGGAGGACGAGGGGGAGCGGGAGGGGAGGGACGGAGGGGAGCACGGGGGGGAGAGGGAGGGGCAGAGGAAGGGGGAGGAGGGGAGGGGAAGAGGGGAGGGGAAAAGCTGGGCACGCTCGCGTCATGTATGACGTCCCACCCCTCACTCCCGTCCCTTACCATGGCGTAGATATCCTCTGCATTCGAACAGTCGTTTGTCGAGCAGGGCGATGATCGCGAGAGGGTGCGCGATGCATGGTGGAGCACAGCATGGCATGGCGCAGAAGAGCACGGCAGCGCGCAGCATGCCATAGCACGGCGCGGCACTGCGCGGCGATGCACTACGTCACAGAGCACTGCAACGCAGAGCACAGCATCGCACAGCGGCACAGAACGCAGCACCGCACAGCACGTCATGGCATGGAGGAGGAGGAGGAGGAGGAGGAGGAGGAGGAGGAGGAGGAGGAGGAGGAGGCGGCGGTCGGCCACGCGCGAGGAGGAGGAGGAGGAGGAGGAGGAAGAGGAGGAGGAGGAGGAGGAGGAGGAGGAGGACGCATGGCATGGCATGTGTACGCGGACCGTCTTCGCTCCCCGAGAAGCTCCCACACGAGGCGGGGCTGATGGATGGCACCCGCCGGCTCTGCCTCCGGCATCGCCCGCTCCTCCTCCTCTACTCCTCCTCCTCCTGCTCCTCGTCCTCCTGCTCCTCCTCCTTCCGTCTTCCTTACAAATGACTCTTCCCTGTCAGGCCTCGAGACGAGTCGGTTGGGCGGGCCGGGCGTCTCGCCGGAGACTTCGTCGCGGGCCGCAATCAAAAACTTGAAGTGTGCAAGAGGTTCTCTGGATGGAGGGCGGGTCGTTGTCAAAATGTGGCTCCCACCTTCGCGCAGCGCACATTTGTTTTGAAGCTTCCAAGAGGTTCACGGATGGAGGGCGGGTCGTATTCAAAATGTGGCTCTCGCCCCAGCGCAGCGCTCGTTCGTCTTAGAAGTTTGCAGAAGCTTCACGGATGGAAGGCAGTTTTTTTCTTAACGTGTGGCTCTCCCCTTAGCGCCGCTCGACTTCGTCTTACCCGCTTACCAAAGTCTCAAGGATTCTCACGGATGACGTCACAGAAATGATGTGTTGGTACGATCCAGGAGCGTCAGGATGCAAGAGTCACGTTGACTCGCAGTGTTCGCGCCCAAGACATGGTGTTCTGGCACGGGCTTGGACCGGCAGGTCTCAGTCGTGGTGTTGATTCGCGGCGTTGAAATCCAAAGAATAATTTACTGGCACGGTTAAGGTATTCAGACGGATGTCTTCCAACGGGGCTCTTCAAGGAGAGAAAACAAATTCTTATAAGAGCATATGAAGAGGGAACTTGGAGGGAGGGTTTATTGCAAAATCGTTGATGAACATTGCTTGGGTTTATACTGGTTCTTCTCCTCCTCCTCCTCCTCCTCCTCCTCCTCCTCCTGCTCCTCCTCCCCCCTCCTCCTCCTCCTCCTCCTCCTCCTCCGCCTCCTCCTCCTGCTCTCTCTCTCTCTCTCTCTCTCTCTCTCTCTCTCCGCGTCGTTCCTCGTCGCTGACGCCCCCCATCCGTTCCCTCCACCGCCTGGCCCTGATCCCCCTGCTCATGCTGCTCCTCCTGGATCTGCTCCTCGGCTCTCGTTGCTCCACGTTGCTTCTCCGGATATAGTCGCTCAGGGTCGCTGACGCACCCCCCTCCCTCATTTCCCCATCCTCCGCCTTGCTCTGATCCCCCTGCTCCTCCTGCTGTTCCTGCTCGTGTTCACCCTCCTTCTGCTCCTCCTCCTTCTCCTCCTCCTCTTCCTCCTCCTCCTCCTTAGCTCCTCCCTGTCGCACCCCGAAACATGTCGGTAGGGCGGGCCAGGCGTTTTGCGTGAGACCTCCGCACCATGTATGATCCTGAGTCATGACAGTTGCAAGAGATTCACGGATGGAGGGCGGGCCGTTTTGAAGATGTGGCTCTCGCCTTAGCGACGCCCGCGCACATTGGTTTCTAAAGTTTGCAGAAGCGTCACGAATGGAGGGCGGGCCGTTTTCAAATGTGGCTCTCGCCGCAGCGTCGCGCGCATTCGCCCAAAAAGTTCGCAGAAGCGTCACGGATGGAGGGCGGGCCGTGTTCAAAAAGTGGTTCTCGCATTAGCGCCACGCACATTCGCCTTAAAAGTTCGCAGAAACTTCACGGATGGAGGGCGGGCTGTGTTCAAAATGTGACTCTCGCCTCAGCGCCGCGCAACTTTGTCTTCAAAGCGTGCAAGAGCTTCACAGATAGAGGGCGAACCGTTTTCAAAGTACTGTTCTCGCCTTAGCGCCGCGCTCCTGCGTATTGAATACTTACAAGGGTTTCACTGATGGAGGACTGGCCGTTTTCGAAATGTGGTCCTCGCCTTCGCGCCGCGCAAACTAATCTTAAACGTGTGCAAGAGCTTCGCGTATTGAGGGGCGGGTCGTCTTCAAAATGTGGCTCTCGCCTTAGCGCCGCGATCGTTCATCTTATCAGTTTACAACAGTTTCAAGGATTCGTATGACCGACGTCCCCGAAGTGGTGTCTGGCCGCGATGTAGGACTGTCAGGATGCAACAGTCACGTTGATCCACTGTGTTAAAATCACAGGGGTGGTGTTCTTGCACGGTTAAGGATCGTCAAGACGTAACAGTAACGTTGATTCGTGGCGCTGAAATCCCAGGAATGGTGTTTTGGCGCGGCTCAGGATATTCAAACGACTGTCTTCCAACGGGGCACTTCCCTAATTGAAAATAAACCCTTGTAGCGGCCGATATAAGGGTAACTTGGAGGGAGGGTGTATTACAGCATCGCTGGTGAGTCTTGGGTGTACTCTGGTCATCCTCCTCGTCCTACTATTCCTGATCCTCCTCCTCCTCGCACTCCCCCTCCACCTCCTCCTTCTCCTCCTCCCCAAGAAGGAAGGATTGTGGAGTCCCTCGTTGTTGTCATACGGTGTTCTACGAGTGAAACGTAAAATTGACCTTGATGGTTGATTGACTGTTTTGTTTTTCGTCATGATCCTCTTCCTCCTCTTCCGCTTTCTCATCCTCGTTCTCCGCCTCATCCACCTCAACCGCATCATCCTCTCTCCTTCTCCTCCTTCGCTGTTTCCCCACATGATTCGTGGGGTTCGGGTTTTCTTCCCTTCCGCGTCTCACCTGCGTCTCCTCATTCTCCTTCTCATCCCTCTCCGTCTCTTCCCTGCCGCGCCGCACCCGCGCTCACTCACCTCACCCAGCTCAGCTCAGCACAGCACGGCACAGCACAGCTCGGCTCAGCTTAGCTGAGTGCGCAGGGGGTGGTCTCCCTATGCGTGCCAGCACAGCACAGCACATCCCAGCAGAGCACAGCACAGCACAGCACAGCACACCGCAGCACAGACAACACAGGCAATGACACTTGCTCGACACCACAGGGGGTGCGCAGAGATTGGTCCCTCAGCGCGGCCTCTATTCGTGACACGCACGCAGATCGTGGTAGGAGTGGCACTTTCTCGACACCACAGGGGGGGCGCAAAGGGTGGTCCCTCAGCGCGGCCTGTTTCCGTGACACGCTCGCAGATAGTGGCAGGAGTGGCACTTTCTCGACGCCACAAGGGTTGCGCAGAGGGGGGTCCCTCAGCGCGGCCTCTATCCGTGACACGCTCGCAGATCGTGGCAGGAATGGCACTTTTTCGACGCCACAGGGGGGCGCAGAGGGTGGTCCCTCAGCGCGGCCTCTATCCGTGACACGCTCACAGATCGTGGCAGGAGTGGCACTTTCTCGACACCACAAGGGGTGGCACAGGAGTGGCACTTCTCGACACCACAAGGGGTGCGCAGAGGGTGGTCCCTCAGCGCGGCCTCTATCCGTGACACGCTCGCAGATCGTGGCAGGAGTGGCACTTTCTCGACACCACAGGGGGTGCGCAGAGGGTGGTCCCTCAGCGCGGCCTCTATCCGTGACACGCTCGCAGATCGTGGCAGGAGTGGCACTTTCTCGACACCACAGGGGGTGCGCAGAGGGTGGTCCCTCAGCGCGGCCTCTATCCGTGACACGCTCGCAGATCGTGGCAGGAGCGGCACCTTCTCGACACCACAGGGGGTGCGCAGAGGGTGGTCCCTCAGCGCGGCCTCTATCCGTGACACGCTCGCAGATCGTGGTAGGAGTGGCATTTCTCGACACCACAGGGGGGCGCAAAGGGTGGTCCCTCAGCGGGGCCTCTATCCGTGACACGCTCGCAGGGCGTGGCAGGAACGGCACTTTCTCGACACCACAGGGGGTGCGCAGAGGGTGGTCCCTCAGCGCGGCCTCTATCCGTGACACGCTCGCAGGGCGTGGCAGGCGCGGCACTTTCTCGACAGAGGATGGTCCCTCAGCGGGGCCTCTATCCGTGACGCGCTCGCAGGGCGTGGCAGGAGTGGCACTTTCTCGACACCAGAGGGGGTGCGCAGAGGGTGGTCCCTCAGCGGGGCCTCTATCCGTGACACGCTCGCAAAGCGTGGCAGGCGCGGCACTTTCTCGACACCACAGGGGGTGCGCAGAGGGTGGTCCCTCAGCGCGGCCTCTATCCGTGACACGCTCGCAGATCGTGGCAAGAGCGGCATTTTCTCGACACCGCAGGGGGGCGCAGAGGGTGGTCCCCCAGCGCGGCCTCTATCCGTGACACGCTCGCAGATCGTGGCAGGAGTGGCACGTTCTCGACACCACAGGGGGGCGCAG